AAAAAAAAAAGCGAGTAGCAGGGATGGACCAGGATTCTGTTTCCCATCCCTGGGTTGGCCCCTGACGGTGTCATGACTGCATCACGGATGCGCTTCATACTTTGGGTTTGTTTTTTTTTTCTTTCTTTCTTTCTTTCTTTCTTTCTTTCTTTCTTTCTTTCTTTCTTTCTTTCTTTTTTGGCAGAACTGGGGATTGAACTCAGGCCCTTTCGCTTGTCAGACAAGCACTTATTCTACTGAGCCATCTCCCCAGCCCCCACGCTTCATACTTTGTTTACGTGTTTGCTGGCTACACAGAACCTGAGGTCTGTGTCACATTGATTTTTTTTTTTCCTTACTGTTACTGAAAGAGATCATTGTGTGTGAGATTGCACGTGAGTGAGAGTTGGCACTAAGGTGTAGGCTTTCTGTCTCGGCACTAGTTGGAGGCTGGTGGGTGGCAGCACCAGGAAAGCTTGTGGTGCGTCAGAGGGCGCTGTAGCTTTGGCATTTTGGCATCAGCATCGGTAGTGGTCTCACAGATGTACCCACCCGGCCCTGGCACATTTTATGATTTTTTTTCCTTTTTTCAAGAAAGCTCTTTTTTATGAGAAACCATGAAATCCGTGAAAATTCAGGTTGGCAAATGAAATTTTAGAAATTCTGTGAGTCAAAAAATAAGAGAAAAAAAGAAGAAAAAAGCAAACTACATTACTTGCCATATTCAGGTTGGCTGAATAGTTTGTCCTCTTGTGAATTGGTGATACCTAGGAAAGGGTGGGCCACTCCAGGGTGGGACATGGGAAAGGGCCATTTGTTGGGAGGGTTGGAATCTACAGTTGATCTTTTTACACAAGGCAGTTAAATGTCACCGTTTCCCATCCAGCAAGTGGAGAGAAGACCAGGCTGGTGGTCACCCGCCCAGGCAGTAAATGTCCAAGGCTCCCTCACAGAGAACAGCACCTGAACCAGCATCGGAACCTGGTCTCAGATCTGACCCTGTGACCTTGGCATTTCAGGCATTTTCTAAAAATTTAGCCAGGGAGAAGTAAAATAAAACCTTAAAATCTAATTTATTTATTTTTTATGTATTTTAGTACAGGGTCTACAGGGCTCACTACACAGGTCAGACTCATAATGATCCTCCTGTTTTCAGCCTCCCAAACACTGGGATTGCAAAAATTTTATTTTTTAATTTATTTTGGGGACAGTGTCTCACTATGTAGTTCAGGTCTGCTTCAAACTCGCAGCTATTCTCCTGCCTCAGCCTCCAGATGTGTACTACCAGCCCACCCCACAAGAGCATTTCTTTTTTTCTTTCTTTTTAAATTTCGTACAGGGTCTTGCTACATAGCTTGGATTTCTAGTGATCCTCCTATCTCAGCCTCCCCAGCACTGGGACTATAGGCATGCACCATCACGCCTGGTTTCAGGGGCTGGCATGGTGTTGGGTTGACATGGCATGTGGTACCAGGGATCGAACCTGGGTCTTTGCTAAGCAGGCACTTAGACCACTGAGCTATCTCCCTGGCCCTGGATTGATTGATTGATTGATTGATTGATTCCTTCTTTCCTTCCTTTCCTTTTTTTTTTTTTTTTGTGGGGGTGTTATCGGGAATTGAACTCAGGACCTTGTACTTGCCACGTAGGCACTGTGCCAGTGGGCTGTATCCCTGACTTCAAGCATGGATTTCCTAAACTGAAAAGGATATATCTCACAGGGACTGGATTGTGGGTGGGGAGGGAGAGGGAGGATGAAGCAGACAGCCAGGCCCGCCCATCCACATAATGCTGGCAGACTCTGAGAGAGGAGGGAGCTTGCCAAAGGGAACATCTGGGGAAGGCAGGTCAATCCAGGTGAGTGAGCCTTACAGTGGCCGTGGTTAAGGGCGTGGTCCTATGCACTGTGGGCTCCCTCTTGGGAGTGAAAGTCCAAGGTGTGACAGCTTAGTTGGGGAGAAGACAGAAGACCTTTTTCCTGGTGTGTGAGTTAGGGGTGGGGTCCGTAGACAGGTTCTGTTAAGGAAATGCCTTGAAAGGCAAGCGTTTAGCTTAAGGGAGAAATATCCGAGACCTAGATATTTCCTGGGCTCAAAACCCTGCCTCATCACTGGGAGGCTGAGACAGGATGATTGCCATGAGTTTGAGGCCAGCCTGAGCTACCTACTGAGTTGAAGGTCAGCCTGAAGTGCGTACATAAGAAGACCCTTTAAATGGGAGGTGAGAGACCTCCCTCCTATGTGGTTAGGACACATTGATAGTTTAAATGATGGGAAAGAGAGCAAATAAATTCTTTCAGGGGATTACTCAATAAAATGGCCACTCATAACTGCATACAAGGTGTTAGTCAATAGTATTACGATAGGGCTGGGAGATGGCTTAGTAGAACAGGTGCTTTCCTGGCAAGTGCAAGGGCCTGAGTTCAATCCCTGGTTCGACAAAAAAACCCAAAAAAATATTAGGATAAATGTGTACCTATGGTAGAGAAATTAACATTTGTTGCCTTTTTACCCAGCCCCAGATTTGGTATAGTATTTGTTTTTGCTTTTTAAGATAGTCTCTCTGTGTAGTTCAGGCTGGCCTCAGACTCAGTGATCCTCCTGCCTCAGCCTTCTGAGTGTTGGCATTATAGGTGTGCACCACCACAACCAGCTGGACTATATTTTCTTGCTCTGCAGTTCGGGCTGGCTTTGTGCTCACTTTTGTAGCCCCTAGCCTGGTATCTAACTCACAGAGATCCTCCTGTCTCAACCTCCTGAGTGCTAGGATTATGGTTCCTGGATAGCAACTTTTCTTTTTTCTTTTTTTTTTTGGCGGAACCGGGGCTTGAACTCAGGCCCTTGGGCTTGCCAGGGAAGCGCTTATTCCACTGAGCCATCTCCCCAGCCCCATGGATAGCAACTTTTATAAGTACCGCACACTAACCGATTGCGCCACTGGAGCTTCTGGATAGCAACTTTTAAGAAGGCCTTTTTAGGGCCAGCCAGATAGTGCAGTGGACTAAGCACCTGCTGTGCCGGCCACTGAGACCAGGCATGGTAGCGCATGGTAATCCCAGCACTGGGGGCGCTGAAAACAGGAGGATCACTGTAAGTCCCAGCTGCATAGTGAGACCCTGTACCAAATATGTAAATGGAAAAACAAAGAAAAGGCTTTTTTTTTTTTCCTCTTTTTGTGGTACAGGGCATCAAACTCAGCGCCTTATGTACACACATCTCCATGTTCCCAGCCCCAGGCTGACCTTTCAAAGAAAGGGGCTGTAACTGCCTTCCCACACCAACCATTAGTTTTTAAGTACTTGTGAAGTGCATGGCCATTGATGATGTTGGTCACCTGGCCTTAGCTCAGCAACAGTGCTAGGAACATTGTGTACATGAAATTTTGTATAAATACTAGGAATTTGGTGTTTTTTAAAAAACTCAAGGAGTGAGTTCCTGTGAGACCTATTGAGTAGTTGCTGGTTCACACACCTTGTATCATGTCCTCACATCTGGGTCCCTGGCCACGAATCCGCTGGCTCTCGCCCCACAGGAAGCTATGTGATTGAAATACAACATGGCAGAGTGCATTCCTCCGTGCGCTTTGTCTTTGGAGCCCTGAAAATGTGAGGCTGTAATTGTGGCTCCTCTGTCCTGCCCACTGTGAAGTATGTGCTCTTCATCAAGTAATTACAGGATTGGAGAGCCTATTCAAAAGAGATTTTCCTGGCCTTTGCCATCAATAATTTTCCCACCTGGTTAATTGCATCCTGTGTAATTACTCCTGTCCTAGGAGGGGAAGGGTTGAGAATGTCCCTTGTCCACTGTTCAGAAGGAATGTGAAATCGATATCTTGCCAATTGAGGCCAGCTCTGGGGATGCAGCTGCAGCCGGACTACTCCGGTCTCCATGGGATACAGAGCCTGCTGCTGGCTCTAGTGGCCTTCAGCGCTTAATCCTTTTGAAAGCATGTAGCAGGACATGCATGGGGGAGCTCAGGTGGCAGGAAGCTGCGCCGGTGCCTTTCAGTGGCACCGTGGGCGCCTGGGGCACTGAGGGCTGCGTGAGGAGCACACACTGGGCAGCCCTTGGGTGTCCGCCTTTCAGGCACGATTAGAGCGAGAAGTGCTTTGTAAATCTCATCAGCATTCCTCTAAGCTGCTTAATCCCAGGTCTGGGGCCCCTTGGGTGCAGACACACACTTCGTTGGGAATTTTGTGTATGGCTCTTTGAAACATGCCAGAAAACGCAGAGCTAAAACTTCAAGTGGAAACATGGGTTAAGGGCAGTGCTTGGTCAGCGCTGGCAATTGGCCCCAGCTGAACGCACCTTGTGTGATGACCTAGAAATGACCTGTTCCCCTTGTGGGTTTATGTGACCAGTGCTGATTGGGTCTCTTGAATCCCAAGGCCACAGAGACAATGGGTGCTTTTAATTGGCTGCGTGGATCACAGGTTAATTACATCATTAATGGTGGGACAGGGAAAATTACCTGCTCTGTCCCAGAGGATTGTAGGGCATATGGGTTTCCTCTCTGCACAGAGGTACCCTAAGCAGAGGAAGAAGGCCTTGACCTCTGACGTATGGGTGGAGAGGACTGTCCTCTTGGAGGAAGGAGAGCACACTCCAAAGCTGTTAGGTCTCCTTTTCATGAAAGCATTCTGCTTTACTCAGGCATTGAATTCCTAAAAGGATTTCGGGTAATACTGGAGGAGCTGAAGTCAGAGGGAAGACAGTGCCAACAATTGATTTTAAAGGATCCAAAGCAGCTCAACAGTAGCTTCAAAAGAACTGTAAGTCACACTTGGGGAATGTGCCCCTCAAGACGGGCCATTGTTCCCGGGGTCTGAATGGCCTATTGAAAGCCTGAAATTGAAGGAGGGGCCGTGGGGCTCTAACTGTCCCCCAGGTGGGTGCGGATGGGGAGACAATGCCCGGGGGAACTCCTCAGCACCTGGGGGGAACACACCTCTTGGGTTACAGCCAGGCACCCCCCCCCCAGCCTCTGCTTTGGGGGTCCTGACAACTTGGGTTCTGTGTTAAGGAGCTATTGCTTCCTGGCCGAAGAAGGGTCAGCACCGTCTATTCCGAGTTCAGGGTCTAAATTCTCTGTGCAGCAGGAGACCACACTTGGCTGTCCAGTTCGGGAACTGCGCCTGAGTGACATCAGGGCGGGCAGCGACAATCTCCTGTGTAGGTGGAGGGGAGGATCATGTCCCCTGGATGCCGCAAGTGTTTTTGTTCCTTTTTAGGGAATGGAATCGCAACCTTTCCTGAATATGAAATTTGAAACGGATTACTTTGTAAAGATCGTCCCTTTTCCTTCCATTAAAAACGAAAGCAGTTACCACCCATTTTTCTTCAGAACCCGGGGTGAGTTGGTCTTTCCTGCCTGCTTCACTCCCTGAAGGTGGAAATGCATTCATTTTTTTTCCCATTTGCTAATATCTGTTATACAGCTGTTCAGAGGAAAGAGGGAGAAAAGGACGGGGGAGCAGGGAGCAGGAAAGGAAAAAACAGAAGCAGAAAATAGAAATGAAGCTTGTGTTAAGTAAGAAAGCCAGGTGTAGTGGCACACACGGGGAGGCTGAGGCAGGAGGATGGCTGGGAGTTAGGGGCTGCATAGTGAGGGGACCTCTCCCCCTACAAAAAGAGTATGCCAAATGCGGGATTAAAAAAGTAGGTGAGGGGGGCTGGGGAGATGGCCCAGTGGAATAAGTGCTTGCCTGGCAAGCGCAGGGGCCTGAGTTCAATCCCCACTTCCACCGGAAAAACAAAACAAAAAACAAAACAGTAGGTGAGGAAGAAAGAGTCCAGAAACATACTTCTAAAAATTAAGATTAGGTTTTGTTAACCTAACCAAAGACTTCTAGTTTGTCCCAGCACAGACCTGATGATTTTTTTCAAGGCTTCTGTGACCTCATTTAAACAGCCAGCTTCTCAGAATAGTGATTTTTTTTTTTTTTTTTTTTTACCGGTACTGGGGATTGAACTCAGGACCCTGTGCTTGCCAGGCAGGCGCTTATTCTACTGAGCTATCTCCCCGGTCCTAGAATAGTGATTTTGAGGGGCTGGCTGTGGCTGAGCTTGGAATGCTTGCCTAGCATGTGCTTCAATCCCTACTGTGTTGTGTGTGTGTGTGTGTGTGTGTGTGTGTGTGTGTGTGTGTGTTTGACTTAGCAATAAGTTAAATAGTATAAGTTGATTTTTGGGTAAAAGGCAGGAGAATAATCCCACCTTATACTTGTTGGGAAAGGGGTCAGCAATAGATTAAGAAAGTTAGGTAATATCCCCGAGACCTCTTCTTTATAGAAGTTTTATTTGTTGTTGGTAGATATCAGGCTCTGTTTTAAATGATTTCTGAATGGTTCTATGTTTGTGCCCTGATAAGGGAACCATACCTATTTATTGTATAGTGACACGAAAGGTAAAGAGCTTGCCTAGAGCTGAGATTTGAACCTCAGAAATACAGTTCTGTTGGGAGGCTGAGACAGGAGAATCACCAAGAGTTCCAGGCCAGTCTGGGCTACCTGATGAATTCAGGGACAGCCTGGATTACATTGTGACCCTACCTATCTACAAACAAACAAATACGGACCTGGAAGAAATAGAAAGATAGCCGGCCAGCCAGCTATCCTTGCCCTCGACCATGAGCTATGCGGGTCCCTGCTCCTCACCGGTCCCTGTACGTGGTGTGTCTTCTGTAACCCCCCTGACTCAGCGTCCTCACCAGAGTATGGGAGCTATAGCCTCTCCTCAGGCTTTTGTTTTTTAACTTGAGATAGGGATTAAGTTGCCTGAGCTGGGTTTGAACTTGCTTCATAGAGCATCGGGATTATAGGCATGTACCACCACGCTCAGCTCCTCTGTAGAATTCATGCTATGGCAGTTTTCTTCGGGTTTTTTGTTTTGTTTTGCTTTGGTTTTTTATGGTACCAGGGATCAAACTCAGGACCTTATGCTTGCCAGGCGAGCGCTTATTCCACTGAGCTTATCTCCCCAGCCTGGGCAGAAAAGTTACAACAATTTCTCTGCCTCTGCCCCTCCCCACCCTCGCTTTTCCCTTCCTCCTCCCCTCGCACTCCCCTCCTCCCATCCTTCCTCCCATCCCAGGGGCAGCGTGGGCCAGACCCTCTCCTGCCCCCTCCGGCCCCCCCCCCCCCCCCCCCCCCCCCAGGGAATCTAGCCCAGGTCTTCAGACAAGCTAGGCGAGTGATGTACTCCGGAGCTCCACTCCATCTCTGGTCTTGTTTCCTCCTTCCCTCCCTCTCTGACTTCCTCCCTCCCTTCTTTCACTTTTTATGGTACTGGGGATTGCACCAATCCCAGGACTTTCACACTGAGCTACATTTTCAACTCTTCAGAAAATTTTTTTTAGAGTGCCAGGTGTGGTGGTGTACACCTGTAGTACCAGCGCAAAGGAAAAAAAAAATTTAAATTTTAGAGACAAGAGTCAGGGGCTGGGGAGATAGCTTAGCAGTCTAAGTGCCTGCCTGGCAACTGCAAGATCCTGAGTTTGATCCCTGGTAACAAAATTACAAACAAACAAACAAACAAAAAAGGGAGGTATTATTATAGAGACAGAGTCTAAGTTGCCCAGGTGAGACTTGAACTAGTGATATTGCTGGCTTCGCTGCTCAAGTCAAGCTTCCCAGAGCTATGTGTGCTCCACGGTGCCTGGCTTTATTTTCTGAATTAACAGATTTCCTGGGGCATGGGCTGGGGAAATAGCTCGTGGTCTAAGCGCCTGCCTGCAGGCTCAAGGTCTCGAGTTTGATCCCTAGTACCATGTGTGCTCCTGTAATTCCAGCCCTGGCAGGCAGAGGCACGAGGTGACTACGAGTCTGAGCTGTGTGGTGAGACCCTATGCCAATTTTTTTTTTTTTTAAAAAGAATCCATGGAGCAAAGACTGTACACATATTATAGTATTTCTGCCTCATACATAATAACTAGATAGTGGGTTCAAAGAATGAGTTTATTAAAACCTCATCTAATAGAAGCTAGCATAATTTAAGATTATTTTTCCCAGTGGAATTAATGTGCCCAGAGGCGGAGGAGAGGCGGGGTGGGAGGTGTTCCCGTGTGGGTGTGTCGCAGCAGCTCCGTGTACTGCGGCTCTGAGCTGCTGTCCATTGTCTTGGGATTCCGTGGGTGGCACAAGGAGATTCCCTAGGTTTGCAGCCTGCCATGCTGGAGTTGGTTGTTTGCCTTCTTTCCTAATGTTGCCCGTTTACATCCCGTTTCTAAGCTGCTGATTGTGATACCTGGTTTTCATCACTGACACTTCTACTTGGTAGATGCTTGCCTGTCAGTTTTGGAGTCTGTGAAACTAATTCTAAATTAGAATGCCAGTGAAGGCTAAAATAACCACTCGACAGGTGTCAGGACCACTCTGATGTTCTCGTGTGCCTTGACACCTCCAATGGGACAGAGGATGGTAGTGTTTCTATTTGTAGCTAAAATCAACGCCTCCAAGTTGCCTTGAACCTGTGTAATGCTTGACCAGCTTTTTATAATCTGGGTGACTGACTGGCTGGGGGTATAGCTCCGTGGCACGGCGCCTGCCTGGCAAGCAGGCAGGTCCTGAGTTCAATTCTTGGTGAGGTCCTGAGTTCTGTTCCCAATTCCAAAAATAAAAATAAATACAACGAAATCTGAGTGACTATACCATTTCCATTTATGTGGCATACAGTGACCTGCATTCATATTTTTACATTGTACTATTTAAATTCTTATATGATGCAGCAGTAAGCTCTAGCAGGTCATTTTGAGGTGATGTATTTTATACCCTTTCTAGCAGCATTTATATTTTATTCAACGTTTTAATAAGAAAAGTGTCTAATGGTCCTAAAACTAAAGATACTTATCTTCTTTTACAGCCTGTGACCTTCTGTTACAGCCAGACAACCTGGCCTGTAAGCCCTGTAAGTACTGCTGTCCTGGGGGTAGAGTCAGCAGGGCACCCCGGTGGGAGCACTGGGCCGCCCGCTTCGGGGCGCTCACTGTGGACTTTCCTTCTCAGTCTGGAAGCCCCGCAGCCTAAACGTCACCCAGCACGGTGTGGACCTGCAGGTGTCTTTCGACCACGCGCCGCACAGCTTTGGCTTTCGTTTCTTCTATCTTCACTACAAACTCAAGCATGAAGGACCCTTCAGGCGCAAGATCTGTAAGCAGGTGAGCTGCTGGGAATGCTGCATGTTTCCAGGTGACTTCTGGGCATCTGGATTTGGTAACTCAACGTGACCATTGGATCCTGGCTCTCCACAGTTAGAGGGGCTTGCCGGCTAGCTCAGTTGTTTAAGTGCCTGCTTGGGCAAAGCTAGTCAGGCTTGAAGGACCGCGGTTTGAGCTCCACATGCCACACCACACCTGCTGTTAAAGCGGGTGAGCAACCCCCCCCCCCAAAAAAAAAAAATCCTTCCACGGAGGATGTTCTAAGGTAGTTAGCACCTGTTATGTCCTAGACTGTCTTGATGCCGTCCCTCACTCCCTAGTTATTTCCACCTTGGCTGTTCCAGTGGTACGTCAGTCTGGAAAAACAGCATTGCCAAGGAATGAATAAATGAAGTGTTTTTGGAGTGCTTGTCCGTAGTTCAGTCATCAGGTCCTCATGCATGACAGGCATTAAGCTTTCTTTTCTTTGAATCCTGAACAGTCCATGAAATGGAAACTTATCATCCCCCTCGACAGCAGAAACCTGTGTCACTCAGGCCACCTTTTTTGTGCAAGGTCAGACAACTGGAAAGTGGAAAAGCCAGATGTGAGCGCTAAGCCACGTGCAGTCCAGTGGCCGTTGGTTTTACGCACATCCTGAGGTTGAGGAGAAACTTAGTACCAAGTTCTTAAACTGAAGGTCATCAGAGGAGGTGAAGCTCTTCGGACTCGCACAGCCTGGAGAGCGAGCTTTGCTCATGGCGGCAGAACCATGCGCTTGTACACAGTTGGTTCTGTCGTAGTTCTGTTCTGCTGGCTCGCACTTTTATTGGCCTTCTGTGCAAGGTAAAATTATGACAAATAGGTATGGCGGTGCATGCTTGTAGTCCCAGCATTAGGGAGGCTGACGCAGGAGGACCGCTGAATTTGAGGCCGGTCTGGGTTACGTAGGGAGTTTTAAGGCCAGCCTGAGCTACATAGCAAGACCCTGTTTTGAGAAACAGGGTAGCAAAATAAAATCATGACAAGTTAAATTCCTGCAGAGCCTGGCGATGTTTTCCCCTCATATCTCTATGGAAAGAGTATTCTAAGGAGTTTGCCTTCAAAGGTGGTATTCCTGCTGAGGGTGCTACAGCGAAGGTCAGAGGTGGTGGGCTCTCCTGGGCCTACCACCAGGGTGAAGTTCACATACGTGCGGCACAAGAAACACAGTTCCTTTCTGACCAAAGCACATCTGAAAAGAAGATCTGGACTGATACCAAGTTTGCTGGAGCTCTGAGCGAGGAGAGAGGCCCTGATGAGGCCTTCTCTAAGAAGAGAGTTTAAAGTGTTAGTTGTTTCTTTCTTTGCAGGAGCAGAATGCAGAGACAACCTGCTGCCTCCTTCAAAATGTTCCTCCAGGAGATTATATAATCGAGGTGCGTGCAACTTCAGAGAGTGCTCCTATTCTATAGCATTCAGTTCTTAGGCAGTTCCTTTTTTTTTTTTTGGCTGAACTGGGGATTGAACTCGGGCCCTTGCGCCTGCCAGGCAAGCACTTACTCTACTGAGCCATCTCCTTGGCTCTTTGTATGCAGTTCTATGTAGAACACTAAGACATATGTTTTTCCATGCTTATCACTGGTTAAAAAAAATTTATGCATAGTTATATCTTAAAAATTTTACCTTTAAAAAAGTTTTGTTTGGGCCTGGGGTTGTAGCTTTTGCCCGGTATGCAGCAGGCCTTGTGTTTGCGACCCGGCATTGCCCACCGCCTCAAATACAGCAGAACAAAAGTCCTGCCCATGGCATGCATCCCTGCTACTCCAGGGTTTCTGTTGCCATTCTTCTGTAAACGCCACTTCAGCCAATGTTTAAATGATGTTTCTTGTCCCCTCTAGGATTACTTTTCCAGTATCAAATTGATACTGTAAAAAGTAGATGAACAATTTGTGCATAGCCCCCACTATTCAAAGATGACTAGTGTTTCCTAGTGTTTTGGTAGAAACTGCCTAGTCTTGCATTCCTTGGGAGCAGTGTGCAGTTTGGGATAGACATACCTGAAGGTGCCCGTGGAGTAAGAGTCCCTGGTAGGAGGCCAGTTTAGTTGAAAATTGTTCCATTGTGGGATTCGCTGGCTGCATTCTTCAGTGAAGGAAACACAGTGCAGGTTAGAAGTTTGAATTTATAGAAAGAAGATGCACCTGTGCTCACTGGGTGCCTGGCCTCAGCCCGCCAGATTGCGCAGCCCAGCAGGTCCTGCTTTCGCTTTGCCCTCATGGAAGCAACAGTGGGAGTCCCCAGGTTCCCCACTTACTAGTAGACATGGTCTGTTGAGGTGCTATCACTTAAAAAATAACGCAGCCTCCTCTGTTTTGCAGCTGGTAGATGACAGTAACACAACGAGAAAGGTGATGCATTATGCCTTAAAGCCAGGTGAGCAGAATTTTGTTGGAAATTTTGGCTCCAGACTAGTGTAGACAAAGCCGTCTCTTTCTCTGTGGCTTACAAAAACAAAAATAAAATGCTGTGCCTCCCTCTTAAACAATGTGCCATCAAAATCTGGTTTTCCTTCTCCCTTCCTGTTGGTGTCTGGGAGATCAAATCCAGCGAGGTATCTGTCACTCGCACTAAGTAAGTCAGTTGTCCTTGGAAGAAGGGTGATGGGAGGGGAGATTTCCTTAGGCAAGCTTCTCACTCAAAGGTATTCACCGGCTGAGCCGTCTCTGAACTGTTGTATTGTTCCCTGCAACCCTTTAAAAATGAACCATGTGATAGAAGAAGGTGGATTTTGGGGTCCTAGAACTTGTCAGTTGGCTTTTGTTTAAAAAGAAAAAGAAATTGCTTCTCTCTGAAGCTGTTATGCTGCTTACATTTACGAGGCTTCCCTTTGACATTTGCAGTGCATTCCCCGTGGGCCGGGCCCATCAGAGCTGTGGCCATCACTGTGCCGCTGGTTGTCATATCAGCATTTGCGACACTCTTCACTGTGATGTGCCGCAAGAAGCAACAAGGTATCTCTGTGCGCTGTGTTCCCCTCGGGGGCAGGCCAGGGGGGATGGCTGCGGAGAGGGAAACGGGGAGCACCTGTTTTGTCCAGGTGTGCACCTGGGAAGCCTCCTAGCGCCTGAGCTGTGTCTACTGCGGTTCCCAGCATAACAATATGTGACTTTCCGTCTCAGGAGCCACTGAAGTACAGGTGCAATTTGATTCTCAATGTAAGGTAATAAATTCAAGGGCGTAAAGCAAGTCTAAGGCGTGAGGAAGCGTAGGTTAGGGGTCACGCAAGACTCGTGTGGAGACTAGAATTGATCCAAATGCTTCTAGGTTGGAGCCATACAGACGCTGCCTTGTGTAGAAAGTCATAGGCTGTATGTTTAGGATCTGTGTACTTTTAGCTGGGTGCAGTGGTGACGCCTGTAGTCCAGGGCACCTGGAAAACTGAGGCAGGAAGGTCACTTGAGGACAGGAGTTTGGAGGCCAGGATGGGCAACACAGTGAAACTAAATCTATTTTTGCTTTGATTTTGACACAGGATCTTGCTCTATAGTTGAGGCTGACCCTTGAATTCACTGTATGTTGCCCAGGTCAGCCAGTCTGCCTGCCTGCCTGTCCGTCCCATCCTTCTCCTCCCTCCCTTCTTTCCTTCTTTCTCAGGACCTTCCACTTGCCAAACAGGGGCTGTACACTGAGCTACATCCCCAGCCTGTCTCACTATGCAACTTGAACTCTAGTGATTCTCCTGTCTTAATTTCCCCAGCACTGGGATTGCAGGTGTGCTCCAGGCCTGGTTTTGGTGGCCGGCTTGGCAGGCAGTACTGGGGGTCAAACCCAGGTCCTTGAACTTGCCAGGCAGGCACTTAGACCACTGAGCTATCTCCCCAGCCCACCAGCCATTTTT